GTGTCACACTGTTTTTGTCTGTTACAGACAAGATAGATACGTATATATGTGTACCTTTTGAATAATGGAACCTATCATAAAGTCCCAGGTGTTTGTTTTTTTTTTTTTTTTTGGCTAAGTGAAAATCCTATGTGGTCAGGGTACTGAATAAAATTATATCCTCATAACCCTAACCCTAACCTGGTCCTGCTTCTCATTACACCCACCAGTGCCAGGAGACCCAGATGTGACGCGTGCCCTTGGGTATAGACCTTAGCTCCACCCACTTTTGACAGAAAGCAGTATATTGTTGGTGACTTAAGTAATAAAACACATAGATTATTTCTCACCCCTTGTACTGATTCTTGATGCCAACCACAGCGCCAGAACACCTAAACTTTGAGCTCCACAGCCTGGCACAGATGGCGGGCTGTGCTACGACCCCCAGTCATTCCACTCACTTCCGGAGCCCCCACAGCACGCACGGCATGGGAACACTGTGTCTCATGGGCCACAGTCCTCACACAGGGGACACACCACCAACGGTCACAGCACCGTGGACAAGTTACTTCGTCTTCTGAGCCCCAGTTTCCTCCTCTGGAAAAATGGGGGACGACTGGAGGATAGAGCCCCATGTGCTCAAACAACAGCCTCTCTGGCTTGCTTGGACTTTTCCTGCTCTGGAGGACAGCAGGGGTTCAACCTCTCTCCCTAAATCCTCGCTTTCATTGGTTCCGTGACCCTGCTTCTCTTAGAAAATGTGCAGCTCTGCCCCAACTACACCTAGAACACAAAAGTTCAAGCCTCAATACTGAACCAACCAGACTGAGGGTTTGGCCAGGATGGCTGGCACTAAGCGCAGGATACCAACTCGACCATCTCTCGAGGAAATTATCACCACCAAATTGAATAAATACAAGTTACATCATCTGTTTCAAAATCAAGCCACAGGATCAGTGTGGTCCTAAACTGATCAATTTGTGAAGTATTATAAGCTGTCAGTGCTGAGTGGGAATGACAAAGCCAGAAACGGGAGCAAGCAGTGGTCCAGGACACAACTTCCTGAGGTCAGAGCATCTCTGTGGTCTTGAAGGCACAGTCCTGTTGATAAAACAGATTAGATTATCCAGGTTCAGGAAAGAAAATGGTGACCATTACTCCCAAGTCAAGCCATTGTTTGGCAGCATGAAAGCGTGAAGCAAAATGAATGGCCCACCAAGATTAGAAGGCTGTGGGGAAGAAGAGAGTGAGAGCTGTCTTTTTCAGCGGGGACAGAGTTTCAGGTGGGGAAGATGAAAAAAGTTCTCAAGATGGACAGTGGTGGTGGCTGCACAGTAGGAATGTACTTCATGCCACGGAACTATACTCTTAAAAATGGTTAAAATGGTAAATATTATATATATTTTACCACAATAAAAGTAGCTCATAAGAAAAAGATACAAAAACAATACTAATAATAACCCCAAATGATGGTTTGGGAATTTTAGTTTGCTTTTGTTTGTTTTTTCTTTATTTTTATTAGTTGGAGGCTAACTACTTTACAGTATTGTAGTGGTTTTTGCCATACATTGACATGAATCAGCCATGGGTATACATGTGTTCCCAATCCTGAACCCCCCTCCCACCTCCCTCCCCACCCCATCCCTCTGGGTCATCCCAGTGCACCAGCCCTGAGCACTTGTCTCATGCATCCACCCTGGACTGGCGATCTGTTTCACACTTGATAATATACATGTTTCAGTGCTATTCTCTCAGATCATCCCACCCTCGCCTTTTGTAGTTGAAATGAGAGCCTATAAGAATCAAACTACAGAGTGCAAACTTGGACATAGAAAGCTAAGATTAACCCTAGTTCTAGAGAAGGAGGCCTGAGACATGGAGTTCATCTGAGCTGGTGCACAACCTCTCTGCCTCAGCCTCACAACTAAAACCAAGGTGTCACCCATCAGAAGCTCCAACCTTGCACGGAGCCCAGGCCACACTTCCAGTTCTCCCAGTGACTGCCAACCCCTCAGTGTGAACTGGAGTGTGTTTCCTGAGGCAGGACCACGACCTTCATCAGATTCCCAAAGGGGAATCCACCTCCCGTTCTATTTAAGACCCCCAGACAGGAGTGGTTCATCTGGGGGCCATTGTGTCTCCTGACATTATAAAGACAAAAGCCCTTACAACCACGGGTTCCGAGGTGGGACTTCCTTTGAGCCTTCACACGTTCCCGAGAAAGTGGCCATGGGCTCCTCTGAGGACCGCCCAAGAAGAGCAAGTGCAGGTCTAGCTCCGCATCCCAGGATTTCGCTCAAATTGAGGCTTTTTCCTGTTGGAATAGAGGAGGAGTCTGTCCCAGTCGTGTTTTGGTTCCAGTGTCTGGTCACGCAGAGTGGGCCCTTGAGAGCTCTGGCTTGCGGACAGAAAGGAGAGAAGAGGGGTGAGCGATTTTTGTTGAGTGCCGGAGAAGATCTGGAAGCTTGGTATTTCCTGGACCCCCACAACTGCTGGAGCCGAAGGGCTCATGAAGAATCTTTACATTTTAAATAACATTTTAGTTTGAGGTGGTGATTTTCCTCCATCCCGTACATATAAACTAGGAGAGGCTTTCCCTGAGGATTTTGAGAATCTACTCTTTACCTTCTCAACAAAAGAAAAACAAGCTCATTTTTGCTTGACTTCAGAAAAAGACATCACCAGCCTGGCCTGAGAATAACACAGGGGAAATTGAAGACAGTAGTATAATTAAGTTCACGAAAGGCCAGTTCTTATGACCATATTTCAAATACTCATAATGCCTTCTCATCCATTCTACCAAATGACTCCATATTCTATTCAGAGTGAAAAAATATAATGGATTCCTCTGAAATATTCAATTAGTTCCATAAAAAGAGAAAAATAGTTTTTCAATAAAGAAATTCAGCCAAATGACTAAAGCTGACAGTGAAAAACCAACTTCAAAGTAATTATGCATCTCCTTTGAGTTCTTGCGCTAACAAAAGTTGATGGCTGCCACCATTAGAAATAGCTATCCTTCTGATGATTAATTACAGTTGTGCTCCTATTTTAGCAGACACTTATTTGAATGTTTACTCTGGAACTGTCTTAGGGTGTTGATCTGTTTAAATTTCCACCAGCCCCACTAAAGAGTATCCATTCTCGAGACTCACAGGCATATAGCACAGACTTCTGTTTGCCAAGGAGGAGACAGGGTGGAGAAGGGATGGATTGGGAGTTCGGAGTTAGCAGATGCAAGCTATTATATATAAGATGGATCAACAACAAGGTCCAACAGTGGCAAAGGGAACTATATTCAACACATCTTGTGATAAACCATAATGGAAAAGAATATGAAAAAGAATGTGTATATATGTATCAGTCAGTCAGTGTTAGTCGCTCAGTCACGTCTGACTCTTTGCAACCCCAGGGACTATAACCCGACAGGTTCCAGGCAAGAATAGTGGAGTGGATTGCCATTCCAGGAATCAAATCTGGGTCTCCTGCATTGCAGGCAGATTCTTTACTGTCTGAACCACCAGGGAAACCATATATATGTATAACAATCATTTTGCCATAAAGCAGAAATTAACACAACATTGTAAATCAACTATTCTTCACTAAAATTTTTTTTTTTAATTTTTAAGAGTATCTGTTGTCATGCTTTGTGAATCACTGATCAGCTTCCTTCAATCTGGCTTCTTCCCCACTAATGCAAATCACTCCCTAGAAAGTCACCAGTAACATTCTTCTTGGGAAACCCCATTGCTTCTCTTGACACCTTGTCTTTTTGGGCATCATAGCACATTTAATTCTTGATCATTGTCTCCTCCTCCAATCTATCTCCCCCATATCTTCCAGACACTCTCACCTGGGCTGGCTTTTTAACCTTTTAACCTGCTCTTTGGGGTTTCCTGAGGTGCCCACCCCTCCGTAATTCTACACTTTCACCTCAGGTAACCTAATTCACTAGAAAGGTTTCAAAAGCATCTACATTGACAATTCCCGTTGGCTAATTCAGCCCTGGCATGTCTCCCAAGCTCTGGGCACTTTCTTGCGGGTGCACTGAACTTGACAGACTCTTAGCACAGTCAGAGCTGAAGCTGTTGTCTTTCTGCACCCCACGACCTTCTGCTTTTCTTCTGGCAGCCTCACCTGAGGGCCTTGACAAGACGAGACATGTATTTGCCATTCAAGCTGCCCTTCGTGATGCAATCTATTGCTGGGTTCCCTGCCTCCAGCACCCAGCTTCTCCTGTCAATATCACTGCGTGTTTCCACAAATAAGTCAGATCAGATTGTTCCACTGCCTTTCTGAAAAACTCATGTTGGCTTCCCACTGCCAACATGCAAATACTTGGCTATTTAGATTAAAGGTTTCATTATGGTAAGCAAGGATAAGTTCTAATTATCATTTCCATTCTTTGAGTGACTTTCAATGTGCTGGTATGACATGTGTGTTTAAAGCTTAGCACTCTTAACAGTAAAGTCTGAAGAACGTCAGTCAGAAGCCTTACATATGATAAAAGGTTTTTTGTATTTTTTTTTAAGATTCCACATGTAAGCAATATCATATGATATCTGCCTTTCTTAGCCTGGCTTACTTCACTTAGTATGATTATTTCTAAGTGCAATCCCACTCCTAGGCATATACCTGGAGAAAACTATAATTTGAAAAGATAGATGCAGCCCTGTGTTCACAGCAGCACTATTCACAATAGCCAGGACATGAAAACAACCCAGATGTCCATGGACAGGTGAATGGATAAAGACGATGTGGTGTATATGCAGTGGAATATTACTCAGCAGTAAAAAGAATGAAATAATGCCACTTGCAGCAACAGGGATAGACCTAGAGATCATAATACTACAAGGCTTTTTAAACCACTAAACTTTATACACAGATGGAAGCTCTCCCTCTCGGTCCTGTTTGCAGTCTGATGACAGGAGTAAAGGTGTCTAGCACACTGGGAAGAGGTACTGTGGACGATGACCCCTGTGTTTTACGGGCTTGTGCTAATGTCTCCCCTTTCCCTGCAGGCAACCCACCCGCCACAGGCACTGGGACTCTGCTGATAACTCTGGAAGACGTGAATGACAATGCGCCCTTCATTTACCCCACGGTAGCAGAGGTCTGTGATGATGCCAAAAACCTCAGCGTAGTCATTTTGGGAGCGACAGATAAGGATCTTCACCCAAACACAGATCCTTTCAAATTTGAAATCCATAAACAATCTGTTCCTGATAAAGTCTGGAAGATCTCCAAGATCAACAGTAAGTCCTCTTAATGTTCCGTTGTTATTCTTCAGCTTTGAAGCCTAGTTTCCCTGGCTTGGTTTCTGTTCCAATGTGTTCCTCCTTTCCTGCACTCTCGTGTATTCTCACGTGGTTTGTTTCAAGTTATTCACACATAACAAACACTGACAATTTTCCTACCAGCACCTGGACACAGTTTGTAAAAATATTGAATATCAGTTTTTTAGAAATGCAAACATGACAGATTTCCGCTTTCTGCTTCATCTCTTCTCTGCTGTACCCCGTGAGCTATGCACCCCATACTTCACCCTCTGCACCCACCCAGGTTTCAGCCTTCAAAAGCTGGGGATCTTGGCTCAGGTGCCTCTCCTCACTCAGATCACTGTGTTTACCTTAAATTTCACCAGCACTGCAGAGATATCTGGACTATGCTTGCCTTCCTAAGAGCAGCACCAGTGCAGGAATCTTCAGAAAACCTCACCTCTAATCCTCCACCTTCCATTTTATGCTGCAGATCTCAGAATTGTAAAGACTTTGTCTTTAAACTGACCGTGGCTTTGACTTTCAACTTTGATATCTTCTCCCATCTGTCCTGTCCCTCAATTATGAAACTTGCAAGCAAGGCCCCATTCCACCAATCCTTGCACGTGGACAGGTAGAATTTAAAACTTGTCCCAACATTTATCATCTGCCATGTTAAGACTGAAATATCGAATGTATTGAATTGTGAATCCCCCACTGCCCTCCCCTCCCCATGACAAGCGGGAACTCACTCCTGCAATCACCTTGCCTCGCAATAAAACCCGGACCAGAACTCACATGTTACATACACTTTGCCATCAATAGTGAATTTATCTTATGATTGACCTGGTCAGGGCTGGGTTCCCTCTTCTTACTTCAGAGGTAGAGTTTTTGAGAGGGATGGGGAATTATACATTTCATTAAGTTTTGAAAATGTATTATACAATTGTGCATAAAATTTTCTATTAAAAAAACCTCATCTGTATTGTTATGGCCTTATCTCATATCTCATTTTATTAGCGCCTTTCTCTTGTTATTGATTCTATTTGCCTGTTTGTCTATTTTATTGCTTTTTAAAGAATGAATTCTGTTACACTGATTATTTTTAATTAAAACAGCCCTTCTCTTATTTGAAGGGTTAGTGTTTTATTTGCTAGTTTTTGTGGCTGTCGCTGATTTGAATAATCATCCCCAGCTTCAGTTTCCAGCTGGAACTTTCTCATCAAAGACTTTCTCCTCTACCTACAGATCAGAGAATCTTCCTTGTGTTAACCTGCCATTTCACTGGCGTCATCATCCACGTCGGTTAATTCTGCTGCCTGTCACCTTCTGGTTAGGATAACCTTCATCTGTTTGTTTGTTTAATTTATTTATTTATTTTAATTGGAGGCTAATTACTTTACAATATTGTAGTGGTTTCTGCCATGCAACAACATGAACAAGCCACGGGTGTACATGTGTCCCCCATCCTGAAGCCCCTTCCCACCTCCCTCCCCACCCCATCCCTCTGGGTTGTCCCAGAGCACCGGCTTTGAGTGCCCTGCTTCATGCATCGAACTTGCAAACTGGTCATCTGTCTCACATGTGGTAATATACATGTTTCAGTGCTATTCTCTCAGATCATCCCACCCCCGCCTTCTCCCACAGAGTCCAAAAGTCTGTTCTTTACATCTGTGTCTCTTTTGCTGTCTTGCATATAGGGTCATTGTTACTGTCTTTCTAAATTCCATATATATGTGTTAATATACTGTATTGGTATTTCTCTTTCTGACTTACTTCACTCTGTATAGTAGGCTCCAGTTTCACCCACCTCATTAGAACTGTCTCAAATATGTTCTTTTTATACCTGAGTAATGCAAGGATATCCAACCAGTCCATCCTAAAGGAGATCAGTCCTGGGTGTTCATTGGAAGGACTGATGCTGAAGCTGAAACTCCAATACTTTGGCCACCTCATGGGAAGAGTTGACTCACTGGAAAAGACCCTGATGCTGGGAGGGATTGGGGGCAGGAGGAGGAGGGGACGACAGAGGATGAGATGGCTGGATGGCATCACAGACTCGATGGACATGAGTTTGAGTAGACTCTGGGAGTTGGTGATGGACAGGGAGGCCTGGCGTGCTGCGATTCATGGGGTCACAAAGAGTCAGACACGATTGAGCGACTGAACTGAACTGAACTGAATATTTCATTGTGTGTATGTACCACGACTTCCTTATCCCTCCGTCTGCCGATGGACATCTAGGTTGCTTCCATGTCCTAGTTAGCTGTTGTAAACAGTGCTGCAATGAACATTGGGGTATATGTGTCTCTTTCAGTTCTGGTTTCCTTGGTGTGTATGCCCAGCAGTGGGATTGCTGGGACATATGGCAGTTCTATTTCCAGTGTTTTTGTTTTCAGGTCGTCACACTTTTCTTTTCCCTCCTGGTTTTATTTAATAGTTAAAATGCCTTCTAGATTCTTTTTCTTGTTCCTCCAAATTTTTTTTTGAATATTTATCATTGTTTATGCCCAAAAAGAGCCAGTTTAAAAAAATAGCTGGGACTTTGCTGGTGGTCCAGTGGTTAAGAATCTGCCTTCTAATACAGGGGCATGGATTCGATCCCTGGTCGGGGAACTAAGATCTCACAAGCCATGCAGCACAGGAAAAAAAAAAAAAAAAATCCATAGTCGACTGAATGACTGAAGAGAAAATAGCCCAAGGCCAAAACAGTGCCAGGTGAGATGGCCAGTTCTGAGTGCTGACCAGTGGCCTGGGTAATGGTGGATGTTCTCACCAAGCATGGGCTTAAAGATCCAGTCCCCAAGTTGTGTGTCAGTGCTATGAATTCCCACAAACGTGGGCCTGATAAAGACTGGGGTCTGAGGCCTGATAAAGACTAAGCTATAGGGACTTATAGCTATAGGACTATAAGCTACAGGACTATAGCTATAAGTCCCTAAGCTATAGGGACTTCCCTGGTGGTCTGGTAGTTAAGAACCCAAGCTTCTGCTGCAGGGGGTACGGGTTTGATCCTGGTTGGGAAACTAGGATCCCACATGCTGCACAGCATGACCAGAAAATAAATAAATAAAAATAATTTTTTAAAAAAAGACTACAGTGTAGAAACCATCTCCATGGAAACAGATTGGGGGCAGGTGGGGTGGGGCCTGCCTGCCCACCTTCAGAGTGTGTGGATTTTTGTTATTGTTGTTCCAAAAGTGTATCTTGATTATTTGAATTTGGATTCTTATATAAAAATGCTCTGAGCTAACAATTTATTTTTCCAGCTTTATTACATATTTTTATATACAAATAAAAATTGTATATATTTAAGATGTACAATGTGACAATTCAAGAGTGGGTTTTTACATTATTTCTTCTAGATGTTGAATGTGATCTTTGTGAAGATGTATTATACTTTAAGTCTAATACACTTGTAGGGAGGCGTTCTCAGCACTCAGTCAGCTCCACCAAATTGGGTCCTCCTGAAATTGAATAAATAGCCCTGAAGCACAGAACTCCTCCATGATGGAAGTGTTTTATCTGGTGTTCTCCGATATGGTGGGCTTCCCGGGTGGCTCAGTGGTAAAGAACACTTCTGCCAGTGCAGAAGATGTGGGTTCAATCCCTGTGTCAGGAAGACCCCCTGGAGGAGGAAATGGCAACCTACTCCAGTATTCTTGCCTGGAAAAACTCCATGGACAGAGGAGCCTGGTGGGCTCCAGTCCCTGGGGTCGGACAAGACTAGGCACAAACACCAACAAACGCAATCTGGTGTGGTAGCCACCAGCCACGTGTGCTTGCTAGGCACTTGAAATGTGATTTCTACAAATGAAGAGCTGAATCTCTATGTTTATTTGGTGTTAATAGATTTCTATTTCAGCACTCTTGTAGGTACATCAATGCACTGCCTGCTTTGAGACTTCAGTTGCTGAAGTTGCACTCTTGTTTGCAGAGGTCCCGCACTCTCTTCTGAAGGCCCCCTTCTGTGTTTGCAGATACCCACGCCCTGGTGAGCCTCCTGCAAAACCTGAACAAGGCAAACTACCACCTGCCCATCATGGTGACAGACTCGGGGAGACCGCCCATGACGAACGTCACGGAGCTCAGGGTGCACGTGTGCTCCTGCAAGAACTCCAAAGTGGACTGCAACGCTGCGGGGGCCCCATGCCTCAGCGCCGCTGCGGTCCTGCTCCTGTCCCTGCTCGGCTTAGCTCGTAAGTTGGCCAAACTCCAGTGTGTGCACAGTGGGAAGATGTAACTTCCCCAAGCCCACTGTTTTTCCACATAGCTTCTTTCCCAAAATATGTATCCCAGAGGAAACATTCATTTTTACCTTACGTCTGTGTAATGGAATGTTACCTGTAAAGGTGCTCCCACTAATGTCAAAAGGCCCCTTCACATCCCCCCGCCAATCTGAGGAACCGTGCAAAGGCACCCAATGCCGTCAACAGAGCAGATGGAGAGGAAGTTCCTGCAGATGACCCTGAACTTGAGCTCAGACAGATGTGCCCAGATTGGTTAACTGGTCTACCAGGGCCCTATTTCTCTCTGCATGGTGTAGTGTAATCTTTAGCTAGGTTTAAGGAGATTCTACACCCTTTAAAGAAGAATCATTAGAATACATGGAAGGACGTGGAGGCTGTAGGAAAAGAGGTGATTGCATATTCACACAGTTTTTTCAGACTGGTTGTCATGACTATGACATAATGAAGCATTATTTTAAATAAATGAACTATTATGCCATGTAATAGAGGTGTGAGCATCAAATAAATAGAAACAAGTATCAAATATTTCCTTTTGGGGGCTTACCAGTCCAGTTTTAACCTTAGCAATTATTAACATATAGCTAATGCCATTCAAAAGACTTTGGGGCCTCAGTATTTACCTTCTGAGAAGGTGAATGGTGGTGGTGTGAATTAGGAGGCTAAGAAAGTGATGATTAGAAAATAACGACAGAAATTATTGTATCCTGGTGACAGTGTTCAGTGGAGTCAACAGGAAATCTCATTCCAACTTCAGACACGTAGAGCTCTGTGCTGAGCCACTAACCTCGGAGTGGAATTAGAGCGGAGAATTTACAGTGCAAAGTGTCTCCCTAGATGGATGGATAGACGGATGGATGGAAGTGAGGGATGGAGTGAGGAGAGAAAGGGAAGAAGAGGGGGAGAGAGAGAAAGGGGGGGAGGGAATATATATTCCTCTCTCTCTTCCTCCCTCCTTTCCTTCTTTCCTTCCTTTTTTATAAAGCATGAATATTACAGATGAGGCTGAAATCCCCTGTGTCCCTCTCCCCAGTTTCATTTCCTGTTCTCTCTCCCCAGAGACAATAGCTGTCATGAGCCAGCGTGTGTGGACATTGTTTTTATACTGTTACTACACACCACATGCACACACACCCCATATAGTTCTACTTTGCGTGGTTTGTCAAACTTGGTCTAATTCATATTGTGTTGAGCCTGATGTGCTGGAACTCTCTGTTCTCCCTCTTTTCATTACATTTCCAAGCTCCATCTGTGTTTCTGTAGTTCAGGGGTTGGCAAGCTTTTTCCATCAAGGGCCAGGTGGCAAATATTTGGGGCTCTGGGGATCTCATCAGGGCTCTGTTTCATATTCCTTTTTATAGCTGTTTTGGTTCTGTCTTCTGTGTTTTACCACCCTTTAAAAGTATGAAAACCATTCTTAGCTTGAGAGCCAGGCAAACACAGTGCTCTGGTTCATTCACTCTAACAGCTAGAGAGCATCCCTTCCCATCCTAGGAATACGGCGCAGTGTACACCCCTATCAACAGACACGTGGGGATTATTTAGTGTCCTGCTCTCACCAACTCTACTGCAGTAAACCTCTGGAATCTGTTTCCCACCAGCTTCTCAAGTGAGCACTAGACAGACACCAAGCAGAATTCACATATAGCAGAGTCAGGATAGACCAGAGGGCAGTACTTCCTGGGTGATTGTACAGAGATAAAAATGCTGTGTGTGCATGTGTGTGTGTACATAGATGGAAAAGATGATGGAGTAGCCACTCACACATCACCCACAACTGGTGTTGTTGTTTAGTTGTTAAGTCATGTCCAACTCTTTTGCAACCCCATGGACTATAGCCTGCCAGGTTCCTCTGTCCATGGAGTTTCCCAGGCAAGAAAGAATACTGGAGTGGGTTGCCATTTCCTTCTCCAGGGGAATCTTCCCAATCCAGAGATTGAACTCACATCTCCCACATTGGCAGGCAGGTTCTTTACCGCTGAGGCACCTGGGAAGCCCACAAACACAATTCAGTTCAGTTCAGTCGCTCAGTCGTGTCCGACTATTTGCGACCCCATGAATCTCACAATTACATGACACCAAAGCCTGACGCTCCGTGAACCAAGGCTCTTCAAGATTCTGCTCACTTACCAGCCCCCCTCGGCGGCCAGTGAGTGGTTTAATGGGGGCTTCCTGCTCCAGTTGTTGAAGTACAGATAGATCCCCAGCCCATCCAACCCAGGGAACCAACATCCCATGTGACCATAGCCTCCAGCACATATACCCAGTGTTTTCATATGTTTACACAATATTTTTTACAATAATACACATGCCTGCTACTCCAAATCATTATATTAAATACTAGTAAGATGTAGTCTGTTGAGATTAAAAGGAATATAATAGCCATGGCAGCATTTGCTTCCTCTGACAAGGGATTTTCTTGTTCCTCCTACTTTGGAGCACCCTGACCTACAGGTGTCAATAATGAGCAGGTTCCCCAGGATGGCTCACTTCTCATCTCTCCCATCTGAGCTCTTGGATCACAGTTAATCCAAGACAGAATTATCTGCTGACTGCCAAAGAACTCGTGTTCATTTTATACTCAAAATAGTTCCATTGAGAAAAGACAGGTGCACGCATTCTGAGTTTGAAATGTCAGATGCACTTTCTGTTCTCACCTAAATGGAGGGCCACATGGTTATCCCACTGCAGGTCAGGGCACCTGAGGACAAACCATAATTATCCTCAGAAAGGAACCCTGAATCTCCCCATGCAGGTGGAAATGACCCTCCCATGTTTTGCATCACAAGACATGTCATTTCAGTCCCCAAAATAGTTAAGAACAGTTGTCATCACCGACCTGACTTCAAAACAAACCTCACCCTGTCCCTATATCAAAGGCATAAGATTATTTAATAATGTTTGTTTGAACACTAGAGATGCCTGCCAAATAAAATGATTCCTGTTTTATTATAGACCTAGCCCAAGATGTTCTTCCTGAGAGAAAGAATGAAACTAATGATGTAGGCCTGTGAGAAACTGGCAGGTATAAGACGCCTTGAGTGGCTCAGACTCTCTCCTAAGAGCAAGGTCAGTGTGGCTGACCCATGACAATGGCAAGAGGGCCCACAGAAATGGGTCCAAAATATTAAGCAAAGTGGGGGCAGGAGTCCTAATAACACTGTAACTACCAGTAGGTTATAAAGCGCAAGGACAAGAGAACTTCCCCACCAGCCATGGTCCTTGAATAAATGTGGAGATTTGGTAGAATCTGTTTGATGTTTCTTTAAAGCAGGGAGCGGCAAACTACAGCCCCAGGGCCAAGGAAGGCTCACTTCCTGGTTTTAAGGTTTGATCAGAATACAGATGCTCCCCGTGGCTCAGTGGTAAAGAATCTGCCCACCAATGCAGGAGACGCAAGGGGTGTAGGTTTGATCCCTGGGTTGGGAAGAGCCTCTGAAGGAGGAAATGGCAACCCACCCTAGTATTCTTGCCAGGAAACTCAGATGTTCCATGGACAGAGGAGCCTGGCGGGCTGCAGTTCACGGGGTCGCAAAGAGTCAGACACAACTGAGCGAACCAGCACAGACGCACAGAACACAGAAGGTCCGTCCGTTTACAGACTCAACCTGTGACTGCTTTCTGCTACTACCGCAGAAAGAGCTGAGAGTTGCCCCCGAGACGCTATGGCCCAAAAAGTCGAAAATATTGACTCCTGGCTCTTGGCAGAAAAAGCGTGTCAATTTGGTCTTTAAAGCCTTTGTTCATAATACTGCAGGGCTCACGTCATCCAACATGGGAAGAGAAAATGGGTTTTGCTCCTCCTCCCAAATAATATTCTGATTCAAGTAGACTCGCATGAGCCAAACACCCCTGTTCTGTGGCTTTTCTCTTTATTCCCTTCATTGCCCTGGTGGTTTTATTTCACTCTGTAGACCAGACACTGATGCTCAGAAAGGTCCCAAGGTGGGTAAGCATGGAGGCCAGTGTTCATTATTAGATTGCCTCCCTTGTGGAAAAAGATAATAAAAACATTTCAGTTTATTATGATACCGTAGGTGGCTTTATTGCATTTGAGAGTTAAACTGAGAGAGACACAATTCCTACTTTGACATCCCAAAGTAAAAGAAATAAAACTAATGACATTGAAAGCAATAAAAAATGTAAATGAAATGATTTTTACTGCCAGTTTGTTGTTTAAATCACATGTTGATGACATCGAGGGGATGCATAATTCTCCCCCTAGGACCCTCCAAAGAAAGCAAGCTGGCACATCCATGAGGGTTTTTGTGCTGTGACAAGGCAAGTTCAAGGAATATTGTGCTGAAACCTTTTCAAACACTTTTAAAATTAATCCACGAGAGCAAGAATATAAAAGAACAGATCAGGTGAACCATTTGAATAAATACCAAAATTAAATGTCTCTACGCTGGAAAGGAGGGGGCATTGAATTGTAACCTTGATGATCACAATGAAGAAGTTTAAAGAGATGACCAAATGAGCAAAAAAAAATGGTCACCAGAAATACTTTTCATTCTAATGTTTTTTATTAAGGTATTATTTGCATTCCATAAAATTCACCTATCTTAAGGATACAGTTTGATGAATTTGGTAAAGTGTAGCCACTCCACAATCAAGATGCCATTCTTTGTACCCCTTTCCTGTTGATCCCCTCCCCAGAGTCCAGACTCCCATTGATCTACCTTCTCTGATTAGATTCTTGCCTTCTCTAGAATTTTCCATAAACAGAATTGCACAGTCCATGTCATTGAGTGTATCAGTATTTTGCTCCTCTTCATTGTGAAATATGTTATGGGCAGAGGCAGAGCTTGGAGGAGCACCAAGACAGAGTAGAGCAGACCATCCTCGGGCCTGCAGACAGAGCTGGTCCCTCCAAGTTTATGGACAATGACGTGCTCTGACGTCCCAGGGCTTTCTATGTGCCACACACATGCACAGCTAAGAACATTACATCATTGTGAACTTTTTTGTGCAATCAACTCAACAGTCACAGGAGATATGTTGTGGTCTGACTTGACTTAAACAGGGCTTGAGGGCTTTCCAATGGAGTGGGTCTTATTAAGTCAAAATTTTTTTCCTATTTTTCTCAAGGACCAAAATGATTATTTTAAGTTATTGGTCTCACACAGGAAAATATTTTTAAATGAAATTAGTGATGCCATTTTCCAGTCTTCAAATGCAAGTGAGTCTGAAGGATATAGTTTACTGCAGCCCAGGTCACCAAAGGGTTTAAGGCAATGGTAGCAAGGGCAATGAAAAATTCACCTGAAAAAAAAGGAAATTAAATGAGTTCAGAAGAGTCCTAACCCCAAAGGAATTCACCTGTCAAGCAGTATAAAGATCCCTCGGTATAGAAAATAACAATAAAACTTGCATCTGAATCAGCATGTTCATTTCCATGGCCCTTTCTGTTAAAACAGCTTTCTCCCTTAACCTTCTCAATATCATTTTATTTACACTCGAGTCACATTACAAAGATTTTTTTATCTAGAATTTAGAGCAGCTGCTCTAAATTTTCCAAACAGATACATGACTACTTTTTTTTTTATATTGCAGTGGTTTTTGCCATACATTAACATGAATCAGCCTACATGACTACTTTAAACTCTAAAATCAATGGAGTGCAGCACAGGTTGTTGATGTTTACATGCTGACCCACCCCCTTAATAGATTTAGAATGAAAAGCCCTAAGCTTTACAGAACAACCCATTATATTCCAACAATCAATTCATTCCGGAATAGACTATACTTGCATTGTGGGTTGATCTTTTATACATTTTTGTTTCTCTGTAACACGAGTTTTTAGGGGTACCGTCTCCCTGTACAAATCCAAGATATAATAATAATTAAGCAAAGGTGGCAGAGAGCCAAGCTGCCTCCGTCCACCCTATCATCCGGCAGACTGGAAGTCCCTCAGCTGGCCTAAAGCCTAGAGAGCAAGAAATGCAGACCCTGACATAGGTCACGGAGAGGCAGGGAGGGACCGCGACCAAACAGGCAGCCTTGGGAAGCTGGAAAGGGAGGAGGGGGCTCCAAACGGAACTCTGCCAGCACCTGGACTGTAGCCCCCAAAGAATTCTGACCTCCAGAGTGTATTAGAGTGAGTATGTGTGGTTTGTGAGCCACTGAATTTGTGGTCATTTGTGACAGCAGCCCTCGGGAACTCATACACCATCTCCGGAGAACCACCAGTTACTATCTTGCTTTTCTTAGTGACCAAAACAAAAAAATATATATATATGTATATGTGTCTGGGATGATGGTCCATTTCTAAGCTGCCAAGTAGGCTTGTTTATAAAACAACCCAGCCCTGGGACAACTGCAGAAGACAGGGCTCAGTGAGGCAGCAGGAGGGGCCATGGTTGATCTGAAGTGTGAGGCCTGTGGTATTCGCATTTCCAAAGAAGTCCAGCTTTTTGAGTCATAAACCAGCAGAACTATTCTTTCTCTATTCAAATGTTATGCTCAAGAAGAAGAAAAAAAAACTTCCCCAAGGTAGTGCAATATTTATAAATGCATTTATTATAGCTTGCCAGTCATGTATCTAGTATTTAGCTAAAATGTTTTTGAATCGAGTTGTTATATTCCTTGACTTGACTCTGAGTCTTTTCCATTCAGGTCTGTGAGAACTCCTGACATCTGAAGCTTGATTCCCAAGTTTCCATAGCAACAGGAAAAAGAGAAAAAAAAATCCAAATCTGAAGATTGCAGTTTACAGCTCTCGAACTTCACAACCAGGCCTCAATTGTTTCAGATTTTCGTTTTCTTTGCAATTTTCACTTAATCTGTACTTCACCATTTTGACAGCATCTTCCTTTTCCCCTTTAATTAATGGAATCCTCTGAATTTTCCCTTGAGTGTTTTAAACATCATGGCATAGAACTTGATCTTCTGGGAGGAGGAACAATGAATACTTTTCCTGATGTGTTTGCCATGTTGCTAGTCAGCACTACACACATTCGGTTTGGTCTGTGGGTTAGTATTTGTATATGTATGCGTATCTGTATGTGTATATACCCAGTATTTATAGAGACAGACTCTACAGAAGCTTGGTCCTCATATATTGTCACCCTTCCCTGAGAGGTTAAGCACAGAAAGGGTAGAAACTAAAGCAGCCGACCCCTCCAGGGCCTCAGCGTCCAGTTCAGCACTAGGGCAGAGCACAGAGCTTCTCCTCGACCCACCGTCTAGGCAGGTCCACAGAGGGGGACAGTTTTCACTGCTGTCCTAAGTGAGGATCATCCTGGGTGAAGGTGGTGAGGAGCAGAGCTGGACATTTCACCATCAAATGCACAGGCGTCTATCTCTCTGCATTTGTAAGTGTCCGGAAACCACAGTCCCAGTGGGTTTTCTGGGGACCCGGCCCAGGATAGAGAACCTTGCCCTCCTTGGCATATGTACAACAGCCAGTGTCATCATGGAGGTCACACAGGCGTCCGAAGAGGCCATCAGGTACCATGTGTATACATATATCGGCCCACATGTACAGACACATTTATGCGCATACACACTGTTCGTTTCCTATACACATGCATACAATAGAGTAAATACAGGTAGTTTTAAAAGTACCCTTTTGTGTGAATCGACGGCCGTCGTTTGCAAACCTGAAAATAAAAGATGTTCATTATCTATTGAGAAGTAATTGATTTTTATTCTGTGAGCATGCGAACATAAGACGGAGGTTAGTGCTTGTACCAAGGTTATCTTCTTGTCCATATGCTGTAACTGAACCATCAAAGCTCACACCAAATTTTTCTAGCAGATAAAGTAGTGACAGCCTGTGGCTTTTTCTTAGCGCTCGACACGAGCTAGGGTCAGGTAAGTGTCTTAGCATATTTTAATGCAGTTGCTCACTAGAGGTTTTAACCACACTCGCGCGCACACGCGGGTACGCACACGCTTTCTTATGCAATCTCTGTTTGCACCTGTGCTTTTCATTTTGCCTTCATAGGAACTAGAAGTCATATGTTGTCTTTACTGTAGTGAAATTATGCAGATAGAGTTCCACAGATTGTGTTTGTTTCTATAGTAAATCTTTTTGAAGCATATAGAATGCAGAGATTTTTTTTTTCCATTAAAATAAATGGGTTTGGTGGTTAAAACTGCTGGACGGTAGCTCTTCTCTGATTTCTATGTTGGTGTCTAATGTCACGGACGCTGGGTCTTGACCAGTGTGAGTTCACACTTCTGGCTGGCCGTTTGGGTCCCCCGACATCAAACGGGTGAGTGGGAAAGCCAGCAGCCCCCGACGAGGGCACAGAGAAGCCCCAGGGGCAGGGGCTCCAAGCCCGCAGTCACACTTTACCAGGTTTCCTCTTCTGGCTTCACAGGACGCAGCCTCGTGTCTCCCCGGTGGACCCCGCTCCCCTCTTCCTGCAAGGCAGAGGGGAGGGCTCACCGCGGAGCACATCCAGCAGCATCCTCAGAGGCCGGGCGGTCAGCAGCCTGGCTCACAGACTCTCTAACTAGGCATCAGGAAGCTCGCCTCATCCTGAGCCCTCCCTGGGGAGGAAGACAGACGTCGAGTGACCGTCCACTCAAGTGTAAGATTTGCCCTTGCCTCTCAAGCCCACAGGCTCTCCGGCACTTTACAAATCACGCCGGTAGCTCAACTTAGCTTAGAACACTGAGAAATCAGAGTAGAGGGCTTACTCCGTGAACAAGCAGGATACACCTTAATTTCCCCTATTTAAGTATATTCCCTGTCCCCACGATCCTCAGCAAGACAGAGATATTTGTCATGTTGCTCTTTTGAATCCCTTCAAAAACAACAACAAAACAGACCAATTCTTAGGCGCCAAAACGGTACCATTTCCTGAATCATAGGGTGTATTTAAATCGCTAGAATACAGTCTCACTGGAAAGCAAAGGCAGAATCAAAATGTTATTTCATAATTATGAATGTATTTTATTTCAGTCTAGGTTACTGGAAAAGAAAAAGTCAAGTGAGAGCCAGAAATTGCTTTCCCATTACCAAGCACAAGACTGTGAGGGTTTTATTTTCACTGAATGAAGTCACACCTTCTCCATTTTTTAATTAGTGTATTAACCTATTAACATCTCAGTTAATTAAAAATTACATTTTCTCCCCATTTTACACATGATTAATTGTTTCAGATGGTTTGTTCTAACAAGAACGTGCAAACATTTTCTAATTTCAATACAAGTTACCTTTGATGCTGCCAGTTCTCTCCCAACGGACATCGTTCAGGTAGATGTACCTGCCCTGGCTCTCTGCCAGCACCTGCCAATCTGAACATCATAACAAAATAAACCCAGCTACATTTCATGGTAGGTGTGAAATCAGAGATGTTGGTGATCCAAAATTTAACTCCTGTCTTCCCAAGTACCAAACCAACTCACTACCAAACTGACTGAGTGGGGTGGAGAGCTGAGCGGGGGGGTGTTGTGTGGGATCTTTAAGAGCTGGCACTGTACTTGGCTATAGACAAATTCTAAAGGGTCTCCAAGCATTTTCTGATTTTCTAAGTAGAGCGCACTAATCTAGCCACGTGTAGTTGACTTAAGCAGGAATCATCAAGTAAATCACACCAGGGAGAGAAAAGTCCCAAGAGAATGAGCGTTGAGAAAGAAGAAACTACCTTTTCTATTTAACTACTAAATAATAGAAACGATAGTAATAATGATGGTGGTGATAGTGACGATGATGGTGACGATGGTGATGTAGCTGCACTTTTCATAAAGATGATGCAACCCATCTTATTTGGCTGTTGAGACTCGGAAGATTTGGGACTTCTTATAATCCTATGATAATGGGCTTTCATAATTGTTGGTCTACAGCAATCAATAATTCCTTTGCTATGTAAAATGCATTACCCTTATTTCCTTTTGCTACTGGATTAGCCCACTGCTGAAAAATTTCTCTACTTTTGACTGTGTTTGGCTCAATAGTAAAGAATCCGCCTGCCAATGCAAGAGACGTAGGTTCTACCCCTAGATCAGGAAGATCCTCTGGAGAAGGGAATGGTAACCCATTCCAGTATTCTTGCCTGGGAAATCCCATGAACGGGGAGCCTGGCGGGCTACAGTCCATGAGGTCGCAAAAGAGTTGAACACGACTGAGTGGCTAAACAACAACAATGTAAAAGCATATACAAAATCTGTAGAGACAGGAAAAAATGGTGGGACTAGATGTGTGAATAAGGATTTCAGATAGGAACTTTAATTCTATAAATTAAGAATAAGTCTATGATTTAAACAAATCATTTAGATAGTCATCCAATTGGAGAGGCAAAAAAGCTTCTTCCTACCATGCATACTGCATCACTACCAGAACAGTAATCATTGGAGGGTTGCTGAACTTGGTAAGCTTTTGAAATTTTGTTTGGTCCCAAGTCGCTCAGTTGTGTCTGACTCTGACACAACAGGCTCCTCTGTCCATGGAATTCTCCAGGCAAGAATACTGGAGTGGTTGCTGTTCCCCTCTGCACAGTATCTTCCCAAAGTAGAGATTGAATCCAGGTCTCCTGCATTGGCAGGCAGATTCTTTACCCTCTGAGCCAGTCCCAAGTGCCTGCTGGGCGGCAGGGATGCAGTAAGAAGCAATTGGTGTAGTAAAACCATAGTAATTTTCACTACAAAGCTCTGAAGTCTTTGAGAAAGTGGTTCATAGAAGTCCTATAAATATATGCTGAATTCTCCATTTTCTGCTACTTTTTAAAGCTTTTCCTTTATAAAATTAAGTCATTCTTTATAATATACATGCATTCAGATTATTAAAGGGTCTAAAATGAAGGCTATGTGAAAAATTTTTGCATTGTCATGCACTCGTGTCAATCCTGTCCTGGTGTTAAATATTATTTATTTCCCCCAAGATAAAATTTTTCAGAAATTTTAAATGAATTTTTTCGTAGACATTTAAAAGAGATAAAAGTTTATTATTTAAAACTTTTTTCATTCAACTGAAGATACTGTACCTTTGGGTCTAGTTGCTGACTTGCTTATAGTCTCTGGGCTATAAATTAACGTTTGATTTACTGTGTAGTTGCCATGAAATTTTAACTTGTTTGTGAAACAGTCACATAAAGGTGATCTGAGATTTTTAATGTGTGTGCTTGGGCTTAGACTGGCTTTAGTACAGTTTAAACACAGTGACAGAGCAAAGGTATATTTTTTCAAATGGTGCTCTGGTTGGCCTATAATATTTAATGACCAAAGTAAAACCAACTGCTGCCGGCCTGCCTAATAATTAACTCTTTTCCTATCTTCTTTTATAACAGTCAAATCCTTCAGACTTGGAAAAAAACATATAGATGATTGGTAGGTAGGTAAGTAGGTAGATAGAGGTAGAAAGATACAGAGTGAAATAGAGAGATAACCAGGTACAGGAAGATGTCAAGAAGATGACTTAATTCAGATTTTAAACAAAATGGGGAAGGGAAGGATGCTAATACTTGGAAAGAGCCTCCTATGGTGAGATATTTTACATTATTTGTGTGTATTTGCATATTATGTTGTACATATTACGTTATATATTATGTTATTATATTTATATGTAATATATAACTATATATTACATAGATAATTTATATAATTCAAGGAACAGTGAAATAGAGATTATCCCCACTGTATAAATGAGGAAACTCCATTGACATAGTTAACACTGTCTTAACCAGGTCTCACTCCTTTGTCGTTCGGCTGCTCGGTTATGTCTGACTCTTTGCGACCCCATGTACTGTATCACGCCAGGCTTCCCTGTCCTTCACTATCTGCTGGAGTTTGTTCAAACTCCTAGTAAGTGTATGTGTGACTCCAACACTGATCTTTTCCTGCTTATCCTAAGCCAGTATCATCCGTGTGTCGCCAGGAATCAACGGAACCAAGTTTGTATCATTGCACCCAACGCGTGAAATTGATGATGACAAAGCCACTGAATAATGACAAGATCAGTGAAGCACACCGAAACCAAACTTGTAAGTCAAGAATCGCTAAGACACATTTCCTTCCTCCCTAGGCAGTCTGTCTATAGGAAATTGCTAGTTTTGGTAAACAAACAGGAAATTGGTTTCTTGTCAGGCAATCACGGTGACACTAATTTGGAAAACTGCCACAGTGAACATGAGAAACATCAACCAGCACGTCAAACCAAAAGCAAAACAATGGGAGGTGGATCGGGATGCCACCGGTGACACCATTCTCCCCATAAAAGCAGTTTTCCGTTCTTTTGAGAACGCAACCTCAAAGAGACCCTCCCAAGTCAAAGTCACCAGGGGCTCTCCCCAGGGTGCACTCCAGGGATGCTGGCAAAACTTGATGTCACATGGGAATCCATGCCAGGAAGACTGGTCCTGGGGCAAAGGTGTTTCAAAGTTAAATTTGTCAGAACTAAATTAAGTTTTTGTTTCTCTCCATAACAAACCCTGCCTTTGGTGCTCCTCCTCTGATCCACCAAGAATGGACCCTGAATCCCTGCCCTGCCCTTCCTCACACCAGCAAGGCAGCATCTCCTCTGCTCAGGATTACTGAAGGCTTGTTCCATACAAAATGGGTATCCAGCAACTGCAGAAGTCCCCAACCGTCCTGGTTGTGATTTATCCCCAAGGAGAAGAGATGTGTTCCTCTGATTCAGCAGCATTTCCCAAAGTGTGTAATGACAAACTACTTAAAGCAATCACTACCTCTTTATCTCTGCTTCCCTGCCTTCTCTTAGGGCAGAATTTTCTAAAACTGTCATCCTACAGGAGCATCCTCATGGTTTAAGGACATCCATCTCCCACCTCCCCTAACAGGACCACACTGAGATGCCACTCATGCTGTCAGTTACAGCCATAGCATGGAACTGTATACCTTTAAATTTGTGATTTTTACTTAAGTCAATATATTTTAAATGAAAATTGTGCCTACTATGAATAAAAAACCAGCATCACTCAGGATATATTCAAGTGATTATAGAAATAAATACAAAGCAAAATGGCAGAAAGAGAGGCTCCAGTCCACATGCCCTCCCCCAGAAACATCAATTTAACAACCACTCACAGATTAGAACACCTTTATGGAAGCCCAGGAGTACACCTGAGATGTTCCAGCACCTCAGTGGAGCAAAAAAAAAAAAAAAACTGAAAAAGATGCCTTTCTCAGAGGAATCTGAAAAAGGGCAAGAAGAACAGTTTCACTTTACCGCATCACCCGTCCTCCAAGGCAGCCCAGCTCAGAGCCAAGAGACTCCTTGGTCCACAGTTTCTCCTTTGGGAAAGCAAAATGAGTCTCTGCTCCCGCCCACCTTTGCAGGACGTTGCCCAAAAGGCCACTCTGTCTGTTCTGCCAAGAACACAGAGGCAATCTGCACAACTGAATATAGTCTGAGCCAGCTAGAAGCTGAGAGGAAGTGGCCCAGGGCTTACAGCACTAAGGAATCTCAACAACTAGCCACAGATCCTGCTACCTGGCCAGTCTCCACCATGAGTCCTGCTCACAAACAATATGAAGGCTCCTCAAAAAAATTAAAAATAGAACTACCACATGATCCAGCGGTCCTACTACTAAATATTTATTCAAAGGAATTAAAATCAGGATCTGGAAGAGATGTCTGCACTCTCAGTTTCACTGAAGCGTTATTTACTACAGCCAAAGGGTGGAGCCAAAAGACCCTGATGCTGGGAAAGATTGAGGGCAGGAGGAGAAGGGGGTGGCAGAGGATGAGAGGGTTGGATGGCATCACTTGATGGACATGAGTTTAAGCAAACTCCAGGAGTTGGTGATGGACCTGGAAGCTTGGCTCGCTGCAGTCCATGGGGTCACAAAGAGTCAGACATGATTTAGAGACTGAACAACAACAAAGGTGTGCAGACAACCTGACTGTCCGCTGATGGATGAGTGAATAAAGAAAATGTGGAGTATATGCACAATGCAATATCATGCAGCCTTTAAAAAGAAGGAAACCCTGCCATTTGTGACACCATGGATGGACCTGGAGGACCTTTTCCTAAGCAAAATAAGCCAGACGCGGAAAGACAAATCATATTTGACCTCACTTGTATGTGGGATGTAAAATAGTTCAATTCACAGAAGCAGAGAGCAGAATGGTGGTTGCCAGGGGCTGGAGGAGGCGGAAAAGGAGAGATGTTGGTCAAAAGGTACAAAGTTTCAGTTAAACAGGATAAACAAGCTCTGGAGATCCACTAGAGAGTAGTGCTCATAGCCACAATACTGTATACTTAAAATTTACCACAGGGTATTCATTACATTTAGTGTTCTTTACCACACATTTAAAAAACAATATTACTACTTTGTAACACATTATAAAGTATATTTTATTTAATTATATAAAATGCATTACCTATGTTATAGTACATATATTTAATATTTGTTAATAGTATATGTTAGTGTATCAAGGAAACTTTGGGGGAGTGACAGATATTTCTGGTTCTGATGGGGACAGTGACTGCATCAGCTCAGTTCAGTCGCTCGGTCGTGTCCAACTCTTTGAGACCCCATGGACCTCAGCATGCCAGGCTTCCCTGACTTCATAGGCACATACTTACCCCCAAACCCATCGAGGTCACTTCCGCCTCTGAGGGAGAAAGGGCTGAAGTGATACAGGTGCGGATGGAGGGACGTGTGTAGGTCAGGAGGGAGGTTCTGACAATAGTCTGTTTTCACTGCAAAGTAGAATAGTTAGTCACCCTCTGAGAACCAGGGGATGACGCTCGGCGTCTAGAGAGACTGGAAAGGTTTGGAACGTCCACTAAAGGCTGGAGCCAGCGCAGCCCGGGCCACCAGAAGGCCGGGGCACTACAGCCTGAAGCTGCTGCGGGGCATCGTCAGTAGGGACCTGAGACTCACCTGTACTCGGTGACCTGGAGACCCCAGTGCACACAGCTCAGAGCAGGCTTAGGTCCTAACAGCCTATGTGGGTGCCAAGTCGGGAAGGAAAGAACCAATGACAACTTCTCTCGAAGGCCCGCCCTGCGGTGATCACTCCTCCCCTGCTCAACCAACACGACACCTCACTGCAGTTGTAGACACGTTAAGTATCAGTCCTGCTTAGTGCAAGTCGGGGAACTGAGGATCCAGAAACAAGGCCCGGCCTGAAGCAAAGCGCAAGCGTGAAAATAAACCCAAACCATCTCGAAAGGGGAAAGGAGAATTACCTCAGTCACTCCGTTAATTAAGAAATAGTTTAAAAAATGCAAAGAGGAGATAAGACACTTAAACAGAAACCAGCGTTGTTCAGAACCAAAGTTTTAAAGGTTAACTGCTAGTGCCTCACACTTAATACAGTAGTTTTGTTAAGAGAACAATATTCAGTTAAGTTTGGTGTGTCAACCCCGCAAGTAAGTGTATCAGTCAGCCATGATGATAAACTCGTGGAACTTTTGCATAAAGCAGCTGTTTAAAAGATGTTGACCTCCACACAGAGAAAGTAGGTCGTCTTTCTGACTGAGTGCAAAAGAAAAAAAGCCACCACTGAAAAAGCGTCAAATTTTCTGGCTGTTTTGAAATTTTCAGTCGCGATAGAAAGGTCTCAAAGTCTCCTGCCAGAAACACACACCAAACAAAACTCCAGATCCAAGTGCTAAATCATGTTAGTGAGGTGATAAGAAAAGGGCTGAGGGGGGCTCCAGCTAACCGATCATGTCTCTGACTTGGGGGTGGTCACACGAGTGTGAGAACTTCGTAAAACATCGTCTAGGATTTTTGAACTAATCCAGAATGTATGTTCCACTTAAAAGTGAAAATCAACCTGCCCCACCAGCCCGGCATCTCCACTCGACCCTCGTGGGGAGAAGGAAAAACACTGTGTCGAGGGCGTAACCAGGACGTCAGCTGGGCACCGGCGAGTGGTGGGCGCGCCCCTCATCCCTGGGACCTCAGTATTACCTCCAAGGCACCTGACCCCTTCTCCCGTCTCGGGGTTTGTGGGGTTTTGTTGGAGGACAGGCGGCGACACAGGTCTAGGCTCGGCACCTCTCGGGAGCTCAAAGAAAGCCAGCGCAGCCTTTAACGACGGCCTAGGAAGAAGCCAGGGACACTTTTCCAAACTTTAGCTTCACAGCACGTTCGTTTCACCCTTTTCCTCCCGGGGCGGGGCCAGGAGCGGGGGTGGTGGGGGCGGTGGGGTGGGCGTGGCTTATGGGAAGGGGCGGGGAAGTGCTGGGCGGGGCCTCGCCTCCGAACGGAAGCTCACAGCGACAGGCCCTTCCGGCGCGTGACGCGAACTACGACTCCCAGAATGCCCAGTGGTCCCGTGAAACTGGCCTCGGTGGTCGCGAGAAGTAGCCGCTGGGGCGTCTGCGCGAACAAACGGAAGTATAGGTGAAGGTCTGAGGCAGCACCGCCAAGCTGGGCACCGGGGAGATGGCCGAGACTGACCCCAAGACCGTGCAGGATCTCACCTCAGTGGTAAGGGGCGGCTGTATGAGACGCGCCGGAGGCCACTGCAACCCCGGGCGACTCCGGCGAGGCCCACTGACCGAGGCGCCCTCTCCGCGGCCGCGCGGGGCGGGTCTCTGGAGGGCCCGTTTCTGAAGGCTTTGCGGCCGCGGCCCCCTACCTTGACTGCCCCCGGTCGCTGTCTGTAGGCCCCTCACCTGCTGACGCGCCCGGGTCCCCCGGCCCCGCCCCATTCACTCTCGGTGACCCCCGGACCCCGCAGCTCCCATCCCCAACCCTCCGCCCCGCGCGCTGCACCCCAAACCCACCAAGGCAGCGGGTCCAGAAGGGAGGGGGCGTCACCATCCCCTCCCACCCCACCCCCGCCCCAAGTCTTACTCACCAGTTGGGGAAACTGAAAGCCAGACAGGGAAATTGAAGGCCACGGAGCTGCGGAGCATTGGGGCTGAACCCGGGGTTCTTGGTCTCCCCAAGGGACCAGAGTTCTACCCTGATCCCGTGACGGCGTCTCTGGGGTAAGCTTGGGGTGTTGTGTTTTGTCGTTTCACAGGTGCAGACACTCCTGCAACAGATGCAAGATAAATTTCAGACCATGTCCGACCAGATCATTGGAAGAAATATCCTTTATTTGTAGTCAGTCTCTAATGGGTCATTGGATTCCATTTTTCCAGATAGTAGTGGCGATAAATGGGTAGTTTGCAGGTCAACTTCCACTTGTCATTTATCAGATTTTTTGTGTGTTTGTTTGTTTTAGTGAGCTTAGGTGCGCACTTCCTGAGAAGTACTGTGCAGAGATCTAGGGATACAGCTGAGCTAGATCCCTGGCAGCGAGGAACTTTCAGTCTATCATAATATTGTCTAGAGGGGTTGACTGTGAGCTAAGCATTTCATGTGTATGTCTCCCGTGATCCTCACCATCACCTGACGAACAGGTTGTAGCAGATAAAGAGTCGAGAATCTTAGAAAAGTGAGAGAACTTGCCCAGGTCCTTTCACAAGAATAACGGCAGGGCTGGGATGTGCTCTAAGCCAGATTCTGACACTGTCCAAAGGAAATTAGGAAAGCACTTTGATTAGGCCGCTGTGTTGAAGGCGCTAGTCTGCAGGGACCTGGGGGAGAAGGGTAGGAAGTGGAAACTCTGGTGCCTTGTCTTTAACTTCCCCACTTGATGATATGAGCAGTCGCATTGATGACCTGGAGAAGAACATAGCAGACCTCATGACGCAGGCTGGGGTGGAAGAGCTGGACGGTGAGAACAAGATCCCGGCCACACAGAAGAGCTGAAGGTGAGCGGAGGGAGGAGCAGGACCCTGGTACAGGTCCCTGTGACTCTGATGTAGGTGGGCTTCCTCTCCTTCCGTCCCCAGCCACGAACCAGCAAGCATCCCATTGTTGTTGCCCCTGGGAACTCCAGGCTCTGAATTTTTCATGCCAAACTAATTCCTTATGAGGAGTATATTTTTCCTGTTTTTATCAGTGAAACCTAGATTACCATTGAGTAATATTAGATAACACTGAGTTTATATCAGTACAGCCAAAACAAAAAAGTGTATTTTGTTGGCCTGAAAATTCGAATCACTGGCAGATCTTCCAGTGGCTTTTGGGGGATTTTTTGTTTGTTTAAGAGAACACCCACTTTGCCACCGTCGTAAATGCCATAAGTTCTAGGGATTCTCTTGCAGGAACAACCCCTGTACGAGTGCCAGGACAATAACTGATTATGTATGATTTAGATGACCTTAACTATGGCGATGTTAACCCTTCATCCTAGAGTTGATTTGAATTTCCATGGGAGAGACTAATAATCAAAAATAGCAGTTAAAGCAAGATAGCTAGACACATAGATGACTGCTTTCGTCTCACCATAGTGGATTCCTTCATGGTAAGCCTTTTCTAGAGTGTGGCATTTACTTCATTACAACCCAGAAGTCATTTTTAAACTCTCTTTGCACTTTTAGCATTTTGTTATTGTTGTCAGTTGCTGAGTTGTGTCCGACTCTTTTGCAACCGCTTGAACTGTAGCCCACCAGGCTCCTCTGTCCATGGGATTTCCCACCTAAGAATACTGGAGTGAGTTGCCATTTCCTTCTCCAGGGGAGCTTCCTGAGCCAGGGATTCCTGCATTGTAGGCAGATTCTGCTCAGATACTGCTGAGCCTCCTGGGAAGCCCTTTAGCATTTTAATTTCCTGTAAAAAATGAAGTTTACTGTGAATGTTTAGGTAACTAGAGTACCAAGCAGAATATACAGGAAAAGACACCAAATTCTTTTTTTTATTTTCTGAGCATATCCTGGCTGGACCAAGTTATAGGTAACTATAAAATAAAGGTTGCTTTGAAGCCCAAGAAAATAAAGGTTTGAGAGGTAAAAAATCTTAAATTTACTGTTATCTTAATAGTGGATAGGGTTGATGCACTATGTGAGTAAATCACAAAGTTGTTTTTGTGGTTGTCACCTTGATTCCTTGTAGACTTGGGCAATGTCCTTCCTGTCTTAGGAGCTCCTCCAGGTCTCATGTCATCCAGCTGTCAAAAACCCCATCAAGTGAATGAGAACACCCTCTCAAGAACTGCGGGATTGAAGAATTTCAAGTGACAAGCATAATGCAAGAAAGGGAGTGGGAGTAGGAAACAGTCACAATAGACTTTTTAATAAAGATTTTATTGTAGTTTTGCTAGGACTTTATGCAGACAAAATACATTTAGTTCAGATGAGGATTCTGAAAGGATTTTTTGTTACTAATTCTATGTATTATTTCTGTTTGTCCTTATAGAATGAATAGCACATTGATGGCTTTTCCTTTTTCAACAGGTTGCTTGTCTTCGCTGGAATCTGGAACACCTTTTTACAAGCCAAGAGGAGACAGATGGCTTTTTCAACCAACTACTATGTGTAGACAGGTTTTATAAAGTGTGCATTCTTCTTACCACATACTATAGAGTTAGTTTATGGAGTGACTTCCCTCCCCTGCCCCCCATGTTTCCTAAACATGGTGACTTCACATCTTGGACCTTGGTCACTTGTGCTATTAAACACTAAAACTTCGGCAGTTCCTGCATATAGTCGTCCAACTTTCTAGTGTATTTTCGTGAGGTTGTTTTTTTTTCTGTCATTCCCTTTGTAGTAGTTGCTATTTGATAGAAGTTGCTGGGTGATTTTTCTATTAGACATAGAGTAAACTCTTGGTTATAATTAGATTTTGTGAAGTAAGGCATTTATAGTTAAGGTTCTTTGATTCTCAGAGTGAACCATTGAGTGAACACCAAATAGTGTATTGGTGATACTTTTCAAGTGGTTAAAAACATTTAAAATTGTGTATTCGGAATATCTGGCACTACTGTGTCGCCAAAACTCAGAACTGAACCACAATCTTATATCTGAGTCCCTGAGGCCAGATGCCACAGTAACTTAGAGTGACCACTGCCACTTTAGTGTTAGAGTTTTTAAATACGGAAAATGACAGAGTTGCCTGATGTGATGAGGCTTTCAGTTGTTAGAGTTTTGCATGAGATTTGAATTCTTCAGTCGGACCCTACATTGTCCATTCACAGTCATTACCATAGGAAATCTGGCAGGATTGTACAACTCAGTTACTCCCATCTTTTGAGCTACTGGCCAGTAAAAGAAACAGAAGAGGAAAACAGACCATGTTAAGCCCACGCCAGTTGTTTGGCTAGAAGGTGATAAATAACTTGTAGTAGGCTTGAGTTTTTAAGAAACACTGCTGCTTTATACTGTTCCTACCTGAATTCAAGCAGAGCAGTGGCTTTATTCCTGATGATGCTGCTCAGCTGAGTGTATCAGGAGTTTTGATCCTGGAGGCAGTGTTGACAGGAAGGGGAGCCACATGACTGTCGCAGCAGGGTGATTTTGTAGAGAAAATGGAAGAAGTTGAGGAATGAAATAGTGTTATGGAGAGGAAAGCCCATAGTCAACACAGTATGATTTTTTTTAAAGTTTCCTATGTCACCAGTCTTAATTGTATTGGAAATGTATAATAAGATTAAGGAATAATGTGTCCTGTTTATAAAGTATCCGGGAAGCACAAAGGATTCAGTTTCTTCTGGACAAGATGGATTCCCCGCTGTTAGCCCCGAGCTGCAGAAGCCCTTCACTGGGCTGGTGGGTCCTGCTGTGGGTTTGGCCCTGAAAGGCCAGAGTGCGCTGGGGCGGGACAGGAGCTCATCCAGGTGCTTCCAAGCCTGGGAGACGGCAAGTGGGCAGTCGGGTGTGAGGAGCTGGCTTCCTTAAGTAACAGGAAGTTTTCAGAGGAAACTCCCCTGACCAAAAATACCTGCCATGAATAAAGGTGCCTGAAATCCTGCTGTTGATGCTTCCTTTTGTGTCACAAATGATTGGTTTTCCTAGTTTTCATACCATTTTCAGGTGATCGGCTAGAACCTCTGGAAAGGTTCAGTACCAACAGCCAAAGTGGGTACGGATGGGAGGTGCTGGGGAGACTGTGCTGCCAGAAAGGAAGGCTAGGCTCGCAGCCACGACAAAGGAGAGTCAGCATCGTTGCTATGGGGACAGAGTCCAATAGACAACATACAGTGAACCTTTTAAAATCCTGTCTGTACACTGACAGTTTCCTATATGGATAACTGTTCTTTTATTCTGTACTTTCTGTTTTAATTAGATTAAAATGGAGGGATTTTCACAGTGTGTTGTCCGACCTCACCCTAAACATTAACTGGCAACAGTTATCAATTAGTCGTAGCTACCAGCACCTATGAAAGCGTTTGTTGTAAACCACGGTGCTATGCGAACATTTTGTTTACATACTCGACTTCATCCTCATGACAGCCGTGAGTTAGTTTTTATCTGCAGCCCATTTTAAACAGAAGGAACCCAGTGCTGGGCAACAATTGAGCAAGTCACACAGCTGGAAGTAGGGACCCTGGAACCACCACCGACAGCTGCCCACCCAGGTAAGGCTTCCAGGAAGTCTTGGCCGGGCTGTCTGGGAATGAAAAACCTGCCACCTCAGTGGATCTTGAAGTTCAGTTTTGAAAGGCTAATTTCAGTTAAACATGACCTAAATTAAATAACAAACATGCTTGATGTGAATTTTTATTCACAATTAAAACTCTTCAGGGCTGTTAGAAATGTGCTCTCAGACTAGCATCTTTTTCTTCCCCCCGGAGAGGTTATTTGAGAACAGCTGTAGAAGCAAACCAGTTTCTCAGATGTTTGCCCTGACAGACTACAGGGAGTGCTGGCTACTGGGTCTCAATTGTTTCCTTACTAGCACCCCCCAGCATTTCTCTTCCTCTTAACATTATCCCTTGAGACTCTCTCCTAATGCCCTTTTGGCTTATGGTCTTGTCGGGTCTCTCTTGTTTAAAAAAAAGACAATGAGTACTGCAGCATTAAAGTTCCCGTGCAGCATCACCTGCAGCCTTGGGCTCCTCATGATGTGAAGCATCTGCATTTAGCTGTAACTTGTTTAAAACCTTGAGTGAATGAGGAAGGGCGGGGATGGTATGTGAGTCACTGCCTGAGAACAAACCAGAGGAATGGCGACGGAACGTCACACTCGCCGAACTCCCAGGTGACTCTGGGAATAAGGAGTTTGTCTCCACAAGTCATGTCAACTCTGCTAGAAAAGAATCTGCTCGACCTTCACACACTGAGGCTTCCACCAAGTGAGGTTAGGTCCTGGAAGCTTGGACACCTCTCCAGTACAGAACTCCTGTTCCCGAGGGGCCCTGGCCACCACTGGGAAATGGAACATTCCATCACTCCCTGATGCATCTGCACTGATGCAGGCTATGTACACATCGTGGGATGCTCATGGCCTCGTGATGATCACCTTGGCTGTGTATCTATACTTCCCTCCATTGTGGGTGTATTTTGACAAATGATTCCTATGGTCACTGGCAAACATCTGCCTTCTAGATGGAACAGTATCATTTCCCAATAGTTAAGCTTAAATTTCAGGATTGAGCAGTTTGGAAGCATTTAGCTGCAAAAGGGGTTTTGTGGTCTCAGGAGGGAGGGTAGCCCCACAGAGAGTGAATTCCATGCCCACAGGATCAGCAAGGACCCAGAAAGCCCCACCCAGGTGAAGCCCACAGACAAGAGAACACCCTCCTCTCATCTCTTAAGACTGAAGAAAATAATTCCTCCAAGTTCATGCCGCCCAGGCCTCAGCTCTTCAGAGCACTCAAAGGTCACTGACATCAAGAAGTTTTCCAGCTGCAATCTTTGTCTCCTTTACCCTGAGAAAACACACCCCCAGACTGCTAGTGATTTACTGCCTCTTACCTTTTATGCTTCACT